CAGTGAGGCCTGAGCAACCTGCATTTCAGGACCCTCCATCTCATGGCTTGGAAGACAGCTTTTCAGAAGTTGTTGCAGTGAGGCCTGAGCAACCTACATTTCAGGACCCTCCATCTCATGGCTTAGAAGACCCACCCAAACCCTGTCCTGAACAGTTCCACTGCTCTGAAGAAAACCTAAGAGGCATTAACACTGAAGCTGCACCTGAGGACTTCGTACCTTCTGGAAATGCCTTGAATTTCTCTGTGGCCTGGCTTTCTCCTTCAGCTGCCTTGACCGACGATTTCCCTGTCGATCATGTGGATGCAGGGGAGGAAACTGTAGAGTGCAGAGTTATACAGGAAAAGGAAAAGAGCTTTCCCACCTCCCCCGAGGGGGTGGAATTGGGACATCAAGCACTTGCTGCAAATGCAGAAGACGTCCCATCCGTATGTCTGACATCAAGTCCAGTAGAACTGGGACCCCAGGAGGCTCCAGACTCAGCTGTAGAAGATGCCAGAAGGATTCCTGGCTTGGAATCAGAGGCTTGGATGTCCCCATTGGCCTGGCTAGAAAAAGGTGTGACTACGTCAGTCATGCTCCAGAATCTCCGCCAGAGGTTGTCCTTCCCTTCTGTGCTTCAGGATGCTGCCGTTGGCAACACACCCCTCTCCACTTGTTCTGTGGGAACTTCTTTTACTCCTCCAGTGCCACCAGAAGTAGGTACCAAGCACAGTACTTCAGAGACAGAGCGCCTCCCCTTGGGGTAAGTGTCCCTTCCAAGCTTGTGCCTCTGGAGCTCCAATACTCTAGCCTGCCACTGGCATCTCTCTCTTCCTGTCGTCTTTTCTTCTTTCCTGTGGTAGCTGCGGGCCCCTGGATCTGACTGCCTTGTCCCGACACGACTTGGAAGAGAACCTGTTGAACTCTCTCGTTGTGCTGGAAGCTCTTTCCCACCAGCTACAAGCCTGGAAGAGGCAGCTCTCTGTCCCGCCCCGGGAATCTCAAGACCGTAGCACCCAGACTGACTGCTCCGCTTGTGGGGTAAGAAGCATCTTCACAGAGCTCGGAGGATCCCAGTGACCCTCTCTCTGTCTTAGAATCAAGCTGAGAAAGAAGCTGCCAGAGGGAAAAGAGGAAGCCTTAACCGCAGGCTCAGTCTTAGAATAGGTGTAAACACTGAGAACTTAAGCCAGGTGTAGTGCTATGTGCATGTAATATCAGGTCTTGGAGGGCTGAGGCAAAATGATCGAAAATTCAAGGCCAGCCTGAGCTATAGAGTTATAGAGTTTGGGGCTAGCCTGTCTTTTTCTTTTTCTTTTTTTTTTTTTAAAGCTGAAGGCTGGGGGTAGTGGCGCACGTCTTTAATCCCAGCATTTGGGAGGCAGAGGCAGGTGGATCTCTGTGAGTTTGAGGCCAGCCTGGTTTACAGAGTTCTAGGACAGTCAAGGCTACACAGAGAAAACCTGTCTTGAAAAAAACTTAAAAAAAAAAAAAAAAATGGGGCTGGAGAGATGGCTCAGAGTTTAAGAGCAGTGACTATTCTTCGAGAGGTCCTGAATTCAATTCCCAGCAACCATGTAGTGGCTCACAACCATCTGTAATGAGATCTAGTGCCCTCGTCTGACATGCAGGCAGAATACTGTATACATAATAAATAAATAAATCTTAAAAAAAAAAAAAAAACCTGAAGATTGTCAGATGGTGGTGGCATATGCCTTTAATTCCAACACTGGTTGGATCTCCAAATTTGAGGCCAGCATGCTCCACAGAGCGAGTTCCAGGTCAGCTAGGGCTACATAGAGAAATCCTGTCTTGAGAAAAAAAAAAAGATCTGGTCCTACCTTAAAGCGTTGGGTTCTGACTGTACTGGGGTACGTCCAGACTTACCAAGGCGGGACAAGTAAGCAGTCACTTATTTCTGTTGTGCTCAGAATTGAACCCAGGGCCTCTGTGTCCTGGGCAAGTCCAGAGCAGCATCTTTAGCCCAAGAATCATTTTCTAAGTCATTATCTTCCAGATATATTATTTACTAATTGTTTTCTTTCCTATTTCTCCATTATCAGTTCCCTTACCCTCTCAACTAAGGAAGAACATACTTATACTTCCCGTTCCAATTTTTACAAGCTAGTCAAGGGCAAAGAAAATCTTTGCCTGTGTACCGTGAAAGCAAATGACTGCAGTGATTAAAGAATGTGTCATATCAGTGGGTCATGAAACTTTTTTTTTTCTTTTCAGACAGGTCACTCTTAGCCCAAGTTAGACGGAACTCACTTTGTAATCCAGGCCAGCTTTGAATTTTTAGTGATCCTCTATCCTCCAGCCTCAGCTTCTCAGAGTACTAATTAGGATTATAGGTATGAACCACTGTGCCCAGCTGGATCAATAAACTTTGTCTTTTTTTCTTTTAGATATGGTTTTTTAGACAGAATCTACCATGTAACCCTGGCTGGCCTAGAACTCACAGAGATCTGCCTTCCTCTGCTTCCTGAATACTGGGATTAAAAGCATGTACCACCAAGCCCAACATTTTTCTTTCGGTGTTTTTGAGGCAAGGTCAAACTGTAACCCAGACTGGCCTCGAACTCATGGTGTCCAGTCTCCTAGATGATGGGATATGGTCAAGCTTATGTCATCATGGCCAGCTAATTAAGCTTGTGTGTGTGTGTGTGTGTGTGTGTGTGTGTGTGTGTGTGTGTGTGTG